CGCCTCCTCCGGCTCCTCGGCGGCTGTGGCATCCGCGCCGGAGTCGCACGTGCAGGGCTCCGGCTCCGCGCGCTGGCGCTGCCGCACCGCGCCTGCGCAGAGCGAGCCGGGCCTGAGCCAGGGACCCGGGCCGCCCGCCCGCCTGGAGCGTGTCCGGAAGTGTTCCTGACGGCGACTCGTGCTGATGGGCACGCGTCCCGCCGCCCCTTGCATGCCCACGGGAGTCCACTGGGCCTGGAGTTGCTCCTGTCCCCCTTCTCCCTTTGGCTACCGGGAGGTTCCCGGCTGACTCACACCCCTTCTGCCCTGTCCCCCAGCCTCACCTCTAGTCTACCCACACTGCCTCCTAACCGTTACGTTTTTACTGTTTGCATGTTTACTCCAGCCGCACACGCCAGGCGGGGCTTTCTGGAAAGAAGCTGCGTGTGAGTAACGATTCCAGGTCTAAGGAACAAGGGGGCTCAGGCCGGGACAGTGGAATATTTAACAGAAGGGCCACAACTAGAACTCTAGTGCATAGCCTGAACCACGCACAGCCTGGGCCGGTGGGCCCACCCCGCCCAGGGAGGCCGGAGCGACCCGTCAGGGAGATGCTTGTTAGCGGGCTCTTTTTAAAGCAGCTGGTGCCGGACTGCATGATACGCAGCTTGCCAGCTGCTGCCCACTCAGTGGGCTTCCAGCATGGTGGGAGAGGCTCTGGTTCACGGTGTCCACAGGGAGGCCAGGGCAGGCCGGGCGCCAGAGACGTCCTTGTCCTTGGGCCTGGCTGCTGCGCTCAGCACTGTGTTCTCCCTGCAGCTCTAGCCAGCTGCCCCAGGCAGGTGGTGACCCCTGGACGCCAGGCTGGGCATCAGCCAGTGCCCTGTACACCATCCCTTGCCCTTGCAGGCAGCCTCCGGGCCCTCCCAAGGCTCAGTAGCCAAGGCCCAAGTCTGGAAGAAGTTGGGCTCTGCAGCCAGAAGGCTGGGTGTGTAAGGCGAGCCACTTGACGCTCTGTCTCAGAAAAATGGAGACGAAACCTCGCTGGTGCTGGTGGCACTGGGGCATCAGATGGACCTGAGGAGCCCTGGCCGCTCCCTGCCAGTCCCTGCGCCCAGGGACGGGTTGGGGTCTGGGCCTTGGCTGGGCTCACCTGACTTGCAGGTGGGGGTGTGTGCTGGCCCCAAGCACCTCGTCCACCTTCTCATGGGCCTTCTCTCTCCCACACTCCTCCCACTCCAGTCTCTGACTCTCGGCAGACATGAGTGTGTCAGCACAGGGGCCACCAGGCCAGCTCGGTGGCCCCCCTTGGCTGGGCAAATGGCCAGTGCCCTTCAGTGCTGCTATGTTGACGTCTCCAGGCTCTCCCAGCCCGGCTCACACTGGTATGCATGTCCCCCAGGCCTGCTCACACCAGCAGTGTGCGTGCCCCCCAGCCCAGCTCACACTGGCCAGCAGTGTGCGTGCCTCCATGGGCCTGCTCACACCAGCAGTATGTGTGTCCCCCAGCGCAGCTCACACCAGCAGTGTGCGTGCCCCCCAGGTCTGCTCACACTGGCCGGGAGTGTGCATGCCCCCCAGCCCGGCTCACACTGGTGTGCGTGCCCCCGGGTCTGCTCACACCAGCAGTGTGCGTGCCCCCCAGCCCGGCTCACACTGGCCGGGAGTGTGCGTGCCCCCCAGCCCGGCTCACACTGGTGTGCGTGCCCCCCAGCCCGGCTCACACTGGCCGGGAGTGTGCGTGCCCCCGGGTCTGCTCACACCAGCGGTGTGCGTGCCCCCCAGCCCGGCTCACACTGGTGTGCGTGCCCCCGGGTCTGCTCACACCAGCAGTGTGCGTGCCCCCGGGTCTGCTCACACCAGCAGTGTGCGTGCCCCCCAGCCTGGCTCACACTGGCAGTGTGCGTGCCCCGGGGCTGCTCACACCAGCGCTGTGCGTGGCGGGCACAGGTGCCCACACCCCTACCTTTCAGCAGCAGCTGGAACTCCTTCAGCAGCACCTCAGGTGGGATGATGGGGCCTGGGGGGCCCTGAGGCCCAGGGGGTCCGGGAGGCCCTGGTAGGCCGAGCTGAAGGGGAACCGTGACAGTGAGGCCTCGTGCGGGAGGTGGGAAACCGTGAGTGCCCCATCGGGAATGGGCAACGGGTCCCTGCCCAGGCCAGGCCCACAGAGGGGGACCAGACTGTCGAGAGTGGGTACAGCAGCTGCAGGCCCCTGTGCCCCACCGGAGACCACCCTGGGGAAGTCCTTCCGGCTCGTTCCCTGACTGCTGGCCCAGCCAGGATAGATGGTGGGGAGTGGGACCGGGGTGGGGAGACAGGGAGGGAACCTCTGGGCCTGCCTGGCATTCTAGGGGAACCAGGCTCCAAACTCAGGGTTCACCTGGGCCCACACTTGGCACTACTCCATGTTCCCTGCCTCCAGGCTGAGGTGTGAGGGTCGGGGGGGGCTTGTAGGAGCTGGCAGGGGGGGATGGAGGTGAGTTGGGGGCTCAGGGCAGGCCCACAGGTGGAGGCCCTCTCACACATGCACACACCCACACACACTAGACATACTTACACTCCACACACACACACTCACACACAAAACATGCATACATTCATACATTCTCCCACATGTTCACATACACTCACACACGTGCATAGGCATATGGACACACATTCTGATAACATGTTCTTGCACACTCCACACCCAGCCATACATACACACACTTGTGGGTGCATATGCACACACACTCACAGTCACACACACACATGCTCCCTCACACTCTCACACATGCTCCATCATGCTCACACAGGCCCATTCCCTCACATTCACTCTCATGCTCCATCACACGCACACACACATGCTCCCTCACACAGACACACTTCGTCACACACGCTCCCTGACACACACACTCCCTCTCTCACACTCACACACATGCTCCATCATACTCACACACACTCCCTCATTCACTCTCACGCTCCGTCACACACACTCACACATGCTCCCTCACACACACACTCCCTCACACTCACACACGCTCCCTGACACACACACTCCCTCCCTCACACTCACACACAGGCCTTGCTGTGTGTGACTGACACCGCGTGTGAGTGTGGTGGGGCCGACACCGCGTGTGAGTGTGGTGGGGCCGACACCGCGTGTGAGTGTGGTGGG